AAGGTCAAACTGGCACCACGTGGCCCAAAGCCCCCACCATAAATCACATCTTTAGCATAGACGATCTGGCAGGGCTTAAGGCCACGGGTAAACAAAGACACTCTTGGTTGGCCAGTTAGCTCAGTTGGTCAGAGCATGGTACTAATAACACCAAGGTCCAGGGTTCAATCCCTGTACTGGCCAGCCACCAAAAACAATGTAAAAAGAAAACCTAAAAAAAAAAAAAAAAAAAAGACACTCTTACAGGCAGGATAATCCAAAGGTTTATAGATTATCTCCCAGGATCGTGTGGAGAGCCAGTTCTTTCTTTGGAATGTGCAGGGTTTGAGCACTCCAAGCCTGCTGAGTTCAATCTTTACTGCATAATATATAAGCACCCAGAAGAACAGGTTAAGTGAAACAACATTAGGCATGTTAAAGGCCCTATTGAATCCGATCAAATGTAATATAAATTTAATTTAATCAAGTTCAAAACATTGAATTAAATAGAGTCATCATTTCCACTTTCTCAGTGCAAGAATCTGTAATGAATTGAAGAGACGGGGCCACACCCCCCTGAAACAGTGCACCAGTGCAGAGTGCACAGTTCGCAAGGAGATGACTCTATTCTCAAGGACTCTTAAGGAAATAGAGGCACTTATTTGCATGTTAGTGAAAATTGGTGAATAATACACTAATTATAGATGAGTTGGGTTAACAATGACCTGCCCAAGCACAATGGCGAACACGCACTCCAGTATGAAAGAACTGCGTTTCGTTCTCTGTGTTCCATAATCCGGTAACAAATATGCCTTTGCCTTTAATGTAGACGATTCTATTGCTTTTGGTTTCTTTTCCCATGGAGAATGTTGAGGATCTCATTTTGGGCTCTAGAAAAGGTGGGGCTGGCTGTCTAGCTAAGTTGGTTAGAGCGAAGTGTTAAAACACCAAGGTCAAGGGTTCAGATCCCCAAAAACAAAAACAAAAAATGCTGGGGGGTGGGTAGTTAACGTCCCCATTTGAAAGCCAAGGAGTCCAGAGACTGATCATGAGCTGTTCCTCAACCCTGAGTTTCCGTGACTATAACTAAAAGGAAACTTCTGTTTGTTCCATGATGATCTAAATGTTGGGGAAGTGCCTTACCTTTGACTGGAATTCTCTTGAGACCCCCCAGTGAGCGGGTATATTAGTCCATCTCTGTTGCTCATGACAAAATACTTGGAACTGGGTAATTTGTAAGAAAGTGAAATGTATCACTTACAGTTTCAGAGGCTGCAAAGTCCAAAGTCCAGGGAACACATCTGGTGAGGGTTCTCTTTGGTGGTGGCCTTACAGCATGACAGGGGTCTCACATGGCAGAAAATGGTGGAGCAGAGAGAGAGACTGTCATGTGCTCTCCTTTTAAAGCCCTCAGAACCACACCCGTGAACTGTGGCACGGCCTTTACAATCTAGTCACCTGCCCAAGGCCCCACCTTTCAATTACTACAGTAGGATTTCCCATCCTCTTTACACTGTCACAGTGGGGACTAAGTTTTGGGGGGACGTCAGGCCACAGCACAGGGAAAACTCGGTTTACAGGCAGAACAGGACATTGTCTCTGCCAAGGCATGAATACCAATTTCCAGCCGTGGAATGCCGTCGTCTTTATATGACTTGTGCCTGTGTTTATAGACCAGCTCTCAGATCTGCAGGTGTCAGCTCTACACAATAAAAAACTTCCTAGGAATTCACACCAGTCTAATGGCAAGCCTCTGGCCCTAGACTTTTTCAGGTGGAGTCTAGACAACCCTTGTAAGATGCACCCTTAGGCTTCCTCACGCCAGCTGCAGGGAGACCTACTGTTCTGAAGATCATTGTTGTTGTTGTTGTTATAAATCATAAAAGTAAATTTGAACTGCATTAAAGCAGTTGGAGAGGTCACTCATTCCAGTACGCGATGGCCACCTTGCGACTGTCATTCCCTGGCCACTGTCTGTGGGCCTTCTGCTTCTGCTTAGGAACCGGTTTATTTTTCCCTTACGGATGCTGTGATTTTATCATTCATCATGCGTCTCTCTTTGCATTGGAAGCCAGAAAGCTGAAGACGAATTTGTATCGAATCTCTAAAAATAGACATAAAACTTCTTGGCACCCTTTTATATATCTTTGGCTCTATTTAACATTTGCACTGTTAGCCTTGTATGCCCCATCATTAAAATTTGTACTTTTCCTTGAAAAAAGTGAGTATTTTGTTTGTTTTTTCTTTTTTTGTGTTATTCCTTTTTTTTTTTTTTTTTTGGCTGGCCTTTATGGGGATCTGTACCCTTGACCCTGGTGTTGTAACACTGTGCTCTAACCAACTGCACTATTTCTTGTTTCTTTTTTATTTTATTTTGTCATCTCCTTTTTTTTCCCTTAAGTTTTTTATACTACATTTTTCCAAATGTAGGCATCCTTTAAGTTTTTAAAAAATTACCATGGCCGGCCCGTGGCTCACCTGGGAGAGTGCGGTGCTGATAACACCAAGGCCACGGGTTCAG